AGGGGAAGGAGAGGAGAAAGGGAGATGGGGTGAGAGGGAGATGGGGAAAGAGGGAGAGAAATGTAGAGACAGAGAGAGACTAAGTGATGGTAAAGAGAGGGGGGAGCTAGACACTCACACACACACACACACACTGTAGAAAGGGAAACAATTCCCGTAAATAAAAGCAAACCGCAAAAGAACAAAAGAACAAGCATAGGAAAGAGAAACAAATTGAAAACTAAAGAGCTAGATCATATGCCGGGATGAGTAAGCACAGTCTGGTCGGTCACAGCCCAGGAAACTCACGTAGCATGGACAATTTACTCCACAGAAAATCGCACGCAATAGAATTCCGAATCACAAAGTGGCGACCAGTTATGTACAACAACTATGAACAACAGTCGCCCATAGAAACGGAAGCAAATGGTATGGACAAAATTCAATACAAAAATAAACCAAACACAGACACCACGGACGAGGACAATAACCAACATCCACCAAAACACAAAATGGACGGACAAAGACCATCAACATGTTAGTCAGGGACTCAAGGACCCAACATTCTTCCCCTGACCGTTACCTGCGAGTGTGGAGCCACGCCCCGTAGTGGAGAACTTACGACTCACGCCACAGTGACTCCGGAGCCACGCCCCGTAGTGGAGAACTTACGACTCACGCCACAGTGACTCCGGAGCCACGCCCCGTAGTGGAGAACTTACGACTCACGCCACAGTGACTCCGGAGCCACGCCCCGTAGTGGAGAACTTACGACTCACGCCACAGTGACTCCGGAGCCACGCCCCGTAGTGGAGAACTTACGACTCACGCCACAGTGACTCCGGAGCCACGCCCCGTAGTGGAGAACTTACGACTCACGCCACAGTGACTCCGGAGCCACGCCCCGTAGTGGAGAACTTACGACTCACGCCACAGTGACTCCGGAGCCACGCCCCGTAGTGGAGAACTTACGACTCACGCCACAGTGACTCCGGAGCCACGCCCCGTAGTGGAGAACTTACGACTCACGCCACAGTGACTCCGGAGCCACGCCCCGTAGTGGAGAACTTACGACTCACGCCACAGTGACTCCGGAGCCACGCCCCGTAGTGGAGAACTTACGACTCACGCCACAGTGACTCCGGAGCCACGCCCCGTAGTGGAGAACTTACGACTCACGCCACAGTGACTCCGGATCCACGCCCCGTAGTGGAGAACTTACGACTCACGCCACAGTGACTCCGGAGCCACGCCCCGTAGTGGAGAACTTACGACTCACGTAACAGTGACTCCGGAGCCACGCCCCGTAGTGGAGAACTTACGACTCACGTCACAGTGACTCCAGAGCCACGCCCCGTAGTGGAGAACTTACGACTCACGTCACAGTGACTTTGGAAAGGTCACTCACGTCGTGCGTCTTATATATGAAATGTTGACTCTAGTATGTGTGGGTGTGAGGGAAGAGAAAGGGAAGAGTGGAAGAGGAGTTTTCGGATGAATGAGTAAGGCGTAAGCACTGTACACTCAGGGCGTGAACACTGTACGCACAGGGCGTGAACACTGTACACTCAGGGCGTGAGCAGTGTTCACTCAGGGCGTGAGCAGTATACACTCAGGGCGTGAGCAGTGTACACTCAGGGCGTGAGCAGTGAACACTCAGGGCGGGAGCAGTGTACACTCAGGGCGGGAGCAGTGTACACTCAGGGCGTGAGCAGTGTATATTCAGGGCGTGAGCAGTGAACACTCAGGGCGGGAGCAGTGAACACTCAGGGCGGGAGCAGTGTACACTCAGGGCGTGAGCAGTGTACACTCATGGCGTGAACACTGTTCACTCAGGGCGTGAACACTGTACACTCAGGGCGTGAGCAGTGTACACTCAGGGTGGGAGGGCCACCGGCCTTGTGACCTGCTTTCTATTGCTCGCCTCGAGGTAATGATGTATTGTTATCAAACTGTGAATATATTATTTAATGGATGTTATTTAGAACTCACGGTCACAAGGCCTCACAAAATCCACACAATTGCGCTGGAACACACACACACACGCACGCACACACACACACACACACACACACACACACACACACACACACACACACACACGTGCACATCTACGAACATGTGCATTATGTAGGTTAACTGCACATGTAGCTTCAGGGGCTGTTACAAGAAAAATTGCATTAAAATGTCTATGAGGCAAACTTGCAACCATCTGGACTGGTAAAGATGCATATATATATATATATATATATATATATATATATATATATATATATATATATATATATATATATATATATATATATATATGCATCTTTATATATAAATATATATATATATATGCATATATATATATATATATATATATATATATATATATATATATATATATATATATATATATATATATATATATATGTGTGTGTGTGTGTGTGTATATCACGAAAATAAACACAAAATATTATATATATATAAATAAATAAATATATATATATATATATATATATATATATATATATATATATATATATATATATATATATATATATATATATATATATATATATATCCAAGGGCAGGTAAAGATTCCAGTGCATTGCATTTTATTTTAGAGATTTAAACTATCCAATTAAATAAATTATTTGTAAATTACTAAATTTAAATATTTTATTGATGGGATATACTTGTATACCCCGTCAATAATATAATGGTGTATACTTGAATACCCCATCATATGGTAAGCATCTACCTTCTTACTTGTACTAGCAGGTAGACCTCATTCAACAATGTTGGGACCTCTCCTGCTTACTTGTACTAGCAGGTAGATGGGGGTAGCTATGGGTTCTCTCCTAGGTGTCCTGTTTGCAAACTTCTATATGGGTACCATCGAGCAGAGGGTCTTAGTTGACATGGACTTGAAACCCGCCATATACTGCAGGTATGTTGACGACATTTTTATGCAGGTACCTGATATCAGACGTCTGCAGCAGCTGAAGGAGAGATTCAAGCAGAATTCTGTGTTGAGTTTCACGTACGAGATAAAATTTGATGGGAAGCTGCCCTTTCTAGATGTAACAATCACGGAAAGGAACGGAGGCTTCCACACTGCAGTCTACACTAAGGAAACAGGAATGTGCCTCAATGCCAATAGTGACTGCCCAGACATGTATAAGAGGAGTGTTGTCAATACTTACGACGACCGGGCTCTCAGGCACACCTCAGGATGTAAGCAAGTCGATGAAGAACTCTGTAGGGTAAGGCAGGTCCTAGTCAACAATGGCTTCTCTAACGGTTTTGTTGAAAACGTTATAAAAAGAAAGGTGAAACGGCATGCAACCTCCAAAGAGTCAACTAACACAACACTTGTATCCCCTATTAGACACTTTTTCAGGAACTTTTTTTCGACGGCTCATAGAACGGAAGAAAGTGTCCTGAAAGACATTATTGTTAGAAACGTTATCCCTTCAGAAAATTCCCAAAATACAATTGACAATCTAATACAAAAACAGAAAAACGGCCAAACTACTCATGAAAAACTCCCCAGACACCAAACAGAACGCCTTGAAGGAAACCAACGTCGTCTATGCCTGCACATGCCCGCTTGGGGATTGTAAGCCCCCCAAAACTCAGTATATAGGCAAGATAACAACATCTCTTTCTAGGCGATTAACTATGCACAAACAACAGGGCTCCATCAATGAACATATAATCTCTTCTCAAAACCAGACCATCACCAGAGAAATCGTAACAAGCAACACAGAAATCATTGATAAATACAGCGATAGCAGGAGACTCAACATCAGCGAGGCCCTACACATCAAAAAGTCAACACCAGCTATCAACAGCCAATTAATGCACAACTATATTCTACCCACTTCAAAGCCCCGAACCAATATGGAAGCAGCAAGAGGAAGTATGGGCCAATAGGCTTTCTGAAGTTACTTCTATTCGTATGTTCTCAAGTCCAAGTTTTACCCATTGTTTTGTGTTCAGTCTTCTGTTTCACCTCACCGAAAACGTTTGTGCCATATCACCTCACCCAAAAACGAGTATAAGTATGAATATATTTTGTGTGTAAATTAAATCTTTGAAAATGTAATAAGTAATTACGAAGCGCGTTTAGGCGTTAAACTAGGAATAAAAAGAATGAATTTTGGAGAATTACTTTATCAATTACCTTCGACAGTGAAGAAGAACGTAAGAGATATTGAAAAGATTCGTGCCAGAATTATTAATCATACCCTTTCGGTCATATTCAACAACATATGTTTACAAGAAACACTGCTACCAAAATGCACACACACACACACACACACACACACACACACACACACACACACACACACACACACACACACACACACACACACACACACACACATATATATATATATATATATATATATATATATATATATATGTATGTAACATATTCCAAAAGCATTGTTCTCCATGCTCCTTCACGGGTCGAGTTAACAAGCTACATGTAGTTGTAATTCGAATACAAATTACTCAGTAGTTAACTGAGAGAGTCTAATTGTCCACCAGTATTATTCAACAAGCCATCAAAGTGCAATGATTATCATCTCACAAATTTCGGGATATTGGAACAACTTAATTGCTACCTTGATTGTCTGTCATTTCCTGCTCCCCCGCCTCTTCTGTAAAATATTTATTTGTAAATTACGCTCCCTAGTTAACCTCATTACCAAGCTAATTACAGTTTGAACAAATTTGTAACAATATGCCGATTTTTCGCCAAAATGCCAAGTTTACTTTGCAATCAGCCAACCATAAGCTCGGCAATACAGGAACTCGTTGTTCCGTATTTGTAATTCTAATTTTTTTTTTTTTACTGTTAATGGTCAGTCGCGTTTTTTTTTTCTTTAGAATACTCATTATATTTATTGCCTTTGGATTAAAAATTCTTCTTAAGCATTCTTCCTCTGTCTATATTTGTCTATCAATCTGTTACCCTGTTCGTCTATTTGTAAATCTTTAAAATGTGTGTCTTTCTCTACATGTCTCTCTGGTCTATTTTTCCCCCTTGTAAATTAAGACTAGTGTTCACGAGGAATGTTTTTGATGTTCATAAGGAACTTCAAGCTAAAAGCTATTGTCTGGCACTCGACCCCTCCTCAACTTCCGACTCACCTCAATATTCACTCGACTCTCCACTTTACTCTCCCTCCCTCCCTTCCCTGGTGAACAATTTCCACTCTCCACACTACCCCAATTACCCTAATTGCACTCCTGGCCCGCCCTACCCACTTTCGCCCACCCTCACACTCGCCCACCCTCACACTCGCCCACCCTCACACTCGCCCACCCTTACACTCGCCCACCCTCCCACTCGCCCACCCTCACACTCGCCTACCCTCACACTCGCCCACCCTCACACTCGCCCACCCTCACACTCGCCCACCTTCACATTCGCCCACCCTTGCACTCGCCTACCCTCACACTCGCCCACCTTCACATTCGCCCACCCTTACACTCGCCCACCCTTACACTCGCCCACCCTCACACTCGCCCACCCTCACACTCGCCCACCCTTACACTCGCCCACCCTCACACTCGCCCACCCTCACACTCGCCCACCCTCACACTCGCCCACCTTCACATTCGCCCACCCTTACACTCGCCCACCCTCACACTCGCCCACCCTCACACTCGCCCACCCTCACACTCGCCCACCCTCACACTTGCCCACCATTACAATCGCCCACCCTCACAGTATGAACAAATTTGTTCATACTGTGTCCAACGCTGGTGTCCACTCACCCACAGCGCACTTTGGAGCCCCCTGGCGGCTGAGTGAACAGGACGCTGGATACGGAATCCTGTAAACCGGTGTTCGATTCCCAGCGCCGGCGGAAACAATGGGCAGAGTTTCTTTCACCCGGATGCTCATGTTACCTAGCAGTAAATAGGTACCTGGGAGTTAGACCGCTGTTACGGGCTGCTTCCTTGGGTATGTGTCTGTGGAAAAAAACCCTTGTTGATTGACAGTTGAGAGGCGGGCCGAAAGAGCCAGAGTTCAACCCCCGCAAGCACAACTAGGTGAATACAATCCCCCACCCACACATTCGACCACTCTCAAAGCTCCCCATCCTCACACTCGCTAACTCTCACACTGGTCCTTCCTCACACTCGCCCACCCTCACAGTCGTCCTCCCTCACACCCGCCCAACCCTCACAATCGTCCTCCCTCACACTCGCCCACCCTCACACTCGTCCTCCCTCACACTCGTCCTCCCTCACACTTGCCCAAACTCACACTCGTCCTCCCTCACACTCGTCCTCCCTCACACTAGTCCTCCCTCACACTCGTCCTCCCTCACACTCGTCCTCCCCCACACTCGTCCTCCCCCACACTCGTCCTCCCTCACACTCGTCCTCCCCCACACCCGTCCTCCCTCACACTCGTCCTCCCTCACACTCGTCCTCCCTCACACTCGTCCTCCCTCACACCCGCCCAATTCTCACAGCCAACTGTACCAACACTTAGAATTATATGTAGATTCGCAACGATACTGGTTCCAGAAATTAGATTTATTAGGTTAAGCTAAAAGAAACGGGAAAATCCGGGGATACGTATTTAAAACACACAAAAATATTGTTTCAGGTGAAAAGAATCGAAGCAAGAGGTCAGTGGGGGAAAATTAACTCCCCGAAGAGACTGGGACATAAGGAAATACGGAATGTGCGAGTAGTGAACACATGGAACGAAAAGAACGGAAAGGTATTTGAACAAAATACAATCCACACTAAGATCAGATTTGGTTAATCAGTAACTACGAGTAAAGTTGCCTCAGCTACTCTGATGTGACGTGGCGGACTTGTGAGTTATTCGTAAAACATAAAAATGAATAAAGCTTTAGAAGACCTAGTGACTCGTATGAGGCAGTTCCCTAAGAACTTATATAAGCACTTTTAGGTAAGTGTTCACATCGTGTTCTGCAGAGGCAAACTGCTCAGACCAGCTGATCATTCAACCCGTTCTCAGATCAAGTTCTTTCTATCCAGCGGTCGACCCCAAAAACGCATTCATCAATTTTAACATTATGTTCATTCAAAACAGATCTTTTCTTAAATATAAATTAATATTATTATATATAAGCATATTGTGTATATTTAGAAACTAGGTTGGTTAGGTGTTTAAGTTCTGTTGGCGATTATTTGTGCTGCAACCCGTCCTCGATTCAAGTCCATTACATTCAGCGGTCAACCCCACAGACGCATTCATAAATTTTAACATGCTGTTTATTCCAAACGGAAATTTTCTCAAGTATAAATTAATATTATAATATGTTAGCATATTGTGTATATATAGGCATAGGATAGGCTAGGATAGGTGTTTAGGTTCTGTTTGCGATTATTTGTATTTGTAGTACGTGGGTGAAGCATTTACAGAGTTGTGGTTCGAATAAATGTTGTCAGCGAAGCACTTGTTCCGGAAGTGTTCGGACGTCATCAGTTGTAAGTCGTGTGTAAACCGTTTTCATTCATAAACAGGGGGTTTGGCGAGTGCATGGAATAGATTTTGGGTCTTTGTTAAGAGGACGGGCTGGATCATTTCCGTAAATATTTCAGTTTAATGCCATTATGCTTATGAACGAGCTTACTAAGATACTATGGTCTTTCACATCCATGACCATTATTACAACTACTCTCGCAAAAACATTACTACTTCCTTCACCACCACTAACACCACCACACCTACCATCACCACCTTCGACGCGTCAGGTCATCCACAGAAACAACACTGACCAGTGATGCGGCTGCTGGTGTCGAGGTATGTGGTAACCACCTCATTATCACCGCCTCTCGCAGACGCCCAAGCTGAGGCAAGAGTTGTTCCGGGAGTGACTCAACACCTCCCACCATTTGTGGGCTCTCCAACCCCACAAACCACATCAAACTAAGTTCCCGTGCATTCGTAAACTATATTTAAATAACGGGAAGGGAATAATAATAGATGCAAAAACGTGTATGTGCCATTTTTAATACCTATTTAACAAGAATTCGGAAGAATGTCAATTATTCCTCTTGCCAACACACTATAGAGGAACGTGTCCCCGAGGATCAAAACCTCAGGAAGGTTATCAAATTATCCCGGGAGGCATATGATTACGCCATGATTGTACATGTACAGCGATACTGGAGACAATGTGGTTAATATAATACTGAAATCTATGTCGTGAACGACATTGGTAAGCAACTGTTCAACAAGAAAACATTAAAGTGATAATTCCGTCATAGTAATAATTGTAAAGTTATAGAGGTAGATAATACAATGTGATCAATGATCTATCGAATAATCTATCTATAAAAAATGCTAGTCTCTGAGGTTGGGTGCCAAATTCGTTACAGGGTAACTAGTCTATCAGGTAATGGTCATAGGCAGGTCGAGACCAATCCCCCATGCCACCCCCCCCCCCTTTTCCATTTGCACGAATTGCCAAAGTATACTACTTCCAATCACGGTAAATACCAGACAATGCTCACCAAGATTCATGCAACATTTTTGTCCTACATGATTAAATGTTGCTTTATCTTATGTTTCTTTACTGACGAAGATGGTTTAGTGAATATTGTTTTTAGGGGAGGAAACTGGTGAAGGAGAGGCAAGGTGAAGGGGGGCCTGACTACTAGTTTTTTTATTTATTTATAAAATAAACACAGTTTAGTACAAATAAAGACAGAACACAATTTAGAAACATAGAACATCGAAACAGAGAGGAATATGACAAACACATAACACAAATCCCAGAACCCAGAACCCAGAACCCAGTATAGAAGACAGAACAGAGTCACAAAAGGAAATAAAACAATAAGTAAATAAAAACAAGTAGCAATGAACAAGTTAACACAAAAACAAAACAAGCCAGAAGAGCTACACAAAAACCAATGCACAAAAACACAGAACCGGAACACACAGGAACTGGGAGGCGGAAAAACAGAACTTTGACATAAAATGAACCACAAGAAATACAAGACAATACATGGCAGTAGAGAAGAAAACCCCACAGCTACACACCGACACACCAGAACAAAAACCGGAACCGGAAAAACAAACCACAGTCACACACCCAAACCCACAAATGGAAACACCGGAATACACAGGAACCGGGAACAAAAACCCCAACCTCTTACACACACGCAACCAACCCAACAACCACACACACTGACACACACAAACACGGCAACACATAGGAATTGGGTGCAACAGGTACAAATTCACTAATAATAATCCTCTTATTTCTAAGGGTAATCCACCTGCGGATATGTCTTAACATAAGCATCCCAAGTCAACCACTCCCGTTTGTTAGGGCGGAAATCCTCAACACCGCAGGTGCCTAATGAACTCCGGAACGACTATATCAGGTGGAAACCCGGGCGGAGGCAGTCGTCTCCTAGCAGAGGACATCGAAGACGAAGGTGGATGCCGGAGAGGTGGCACAACCGCCACAGACGAAAAAGGCTGCACCGAAGATGAGGACGGAGACTGGAGGCGGCGGCAATACCGCCGACGGAGCAGGGAGCGGGGGCACGGAATCCACCGGGGCGAGCAGCCTTCTTCAGGACCAACACCAACCCACTATGCTCACCATGTTTAAGATTTGCTACCTGGAACAAAAAGTTCCAAGTAGCACGGGCTATGGTGAGCCCGTAGTGGACTTGTGCTCACCAGCATCCTCAGCAGGAGGGGACCACCCCCCACGGGGAACCAGAACAAATGAACGCGTGCAAGGCACCCGAAGCTCCCGCACCCGTCCCCACCTTTACAACAGGGTACATACCAGGGGTCTACGTCACCTGCTGAAACCACACCAGCTCCCAACACACCAACCTCGCACTCCACAGAGGAAGAGCCCTCAGTCATCAACATCACATTCTGCAGCCCACTCGTGAGGTGGCGACACATTCCTAGCCGTCCGAGAACACTTCGATACAGGTCGCTGATCGTCAGAACTGTCGCTACCAGTAGGAGGCACCCGAGAAGTCCTCGGCCGGCTGCCACACGACGAGGAAAGCACGACCCCGACGCGCAGCAGCCTCGACGACAGGTGGAACAGGAACAGGAGATAGGGCAGGCAGAAGTGAAGGGGCCAGCACAGATGAGGGAGCCTGCAGACACGGGATCTAGCAGAGAAGGAGCCTGCAGAGATGAGGGGACCCTGCGGAGGCCAGAGAGTTTGTAGAGGGAAAGGAGATGGCCGAGGCGAGGAAGCCATATGCGGGGGCAGGACCTCACACCACCAATCGTATGCATGGGCACACAAGCCTAGGAACTCGTTAACACCACAGGGGCAGTCGACGGCAGGGAAGCCTCCACACCTTCACAAAGCGACAGGTCTGGAGCCACTAACGGGAAAATCCTACTCCCGAAACAAATTCACTGGCGCAGCCGCCACACCAGTGCAGGCTGCCGCCTGGTGCCCCTCAAGTCCACACCGAATACATGACCTGGGCTGCCCCGTGTAGAAGGCACACATGGTGTAGCCCATCAACGTGAAAGTGGACGGAACAGGAGACTTGAGACACAGGGCGAGGGTCCTGGTACCGCTCGAGATCCCCCTCCGTCTACCGGAAAAGGTAGGATTCAACTGGAGTGACACTACCATCCCATAGTTTCCAAAACATCGCCGATGTAGGTCTTCTGAGAGCTCAAAAGGGGGACCCCATGCAGCGCCATATATGTAAGGGAGCAGCAGCAGCGGTCAGAGACAGTACTACCTTCAACAAAGAAGGGTTATCTTGAGGTTATCTTGAGATGATTTCGGGGCTTTAGTGTCCCCGCGGTCCGGTCCTCGACCAGGCCTCCACCCCCAGGAAGCAGCCCGTGACAGCTGACTAACACCCAGGTACCTATTTACTGCTAGGTAACGGACATTCAGGGTGAAAGAAACTTTGCCCGTTTGTTTCTGCCTCGTGCAGGAATCGAACCCGCGCCACAGAATCACGAGTCCTGCACGCTATCCACCAGGCTACGAGGCCCCTGTGTTCGTGGGTAAACGAACGCCCATCATAACTGGCCACGATATCTTCATAACCAATCAGAGAATGGAACTTAACGAGCGCCCGGTAGTTTGTTAGGAGCTACACACCAGACACATCAGCTACCTGAACACAAAATATCTAAAAGAACTATTTCTATGGCCAAGTTCGACGCCCTGCCAGAGACCTCTAGACCAATCGTCTCCGAACGGCGACTCAGGAAGTTCGTCTTCTGTGGATGATGTGGGCGACGATGTTGGCGTGCCTGCGGCGCCTGTGGGCCTTATTGCAGTGGTGGTGGGTCCTGTTATGTGATTGTCGCCTGGCCCTGGTACGGTGTCTCTTGCTGCCTCTGCGTCCCCGAGTTGGGAGGTTGTGACACCGGCCAAGGTTTCGGGAGAGGACTTTGTGCTGGTTCTTAAAGATTCTGTTCCGGCGGCTCCCGTGCCTCTGGCGTCCATGTCTGTGCCTTCCGCGCATCTACCCTCTGATGCCGACCGCTGCATGGCTACCCTCTGCTCAGCCGTCCTTTGTTACTCCGCCGTGTGGTGTCGGCCCCTTCACTACTGCCCTCCGTGTTCCCTGCGACTCTGCCCGCTATGTTGCCGCCCTGTGTCCAGCTGGCTCCTGTGCTTCAGTCCCGTGTGGTTCTGCCGTCTGCACTGAAGAGCTCTTTGCCGCCTTTTCCTGTGACTTCCGCCCCAGTGGTGGCGGGCACAAAGCTGGATGCTCCAGACTTCATGCATCGACCACGAGAATCACGTAGTCACATTAACGCGTCTGCGGAATTATGGGCTCAGTGCGACGCTACAGGAAGTACCCGCTTTGTTTTTATCCGGATATATATGATAATTAACTGATTCTTTTTTTTGTGTTGCTTTATTTTTGTTTTGATGAGCTATGTTCCGAACAGAAGCTTATCCATTTTATACCGTCAATAAAAGAAAATGACCATTTAAAAATTAATAATGTATATTTAGGCCCGAGTTTATGTTAATAGCACCGACACTTTTGCTTACCAAGTGACGTATTTACAGAATAGTCAAATGGGGGAATTCAGCGAAGCACAAAATTCGAGTAGCAATTTTAGTCTGTAGAAGCGTCCACCCCCCCCCCCCCCCGTATCTTTCAAGATCGTGAATGGTTAGAGTGCTGGATTAAAGAGCAATTTGACCATTTATTCAGGACAAGATGCGTCTTTAACAATACAATATCGAGGACCAGAAGGGTTTAAAATTTTAACAGGCAATGAGACCATGGTTAAAATTTCAAAACACCTGAGCTGAAGCAGGAATCTGTAAAACTAGCAACCTGGTTGGGAGAGGGGCTGGTGGATAGAATCTCAGCGATACCCTTAATCATTAGAGCCGTTTGTAGCAAGGAAGAAAAATGCTATTCTGGGCGTGGAGGACATCTCTTGTGATACTAGCAGCGTCGGAAGGCGACGGTTCGTTTAGCCAATCAAGACGCAGCCCATCAAAACTTATTGGCAAACGAGACTATTGTATTTGACCCACCCAACTAGTCATTTCAAAACTCAAGACCTGGTGCTATAGTATCTTAGGATCTAGGGTTTATTTCTTTTAGTATCTGGTAGGGATTATGACTTAGAATAAGCTGCCCCAGAAGTGACAGTGGAAGTTTCATTGGCCATCCTGAAATCCAATTATTCTGGTTCAAAGAAAAAAGAAAAGTTTAGTCAAATTTATTTTTACAGAACTAATTTAAATTCTTATTTTAAAATATAAAAAACGTTTAGGTAGAAGGAAGGAGTTAGAGTGTAGCCTCGCAGATGACGGGCTTCACGTGGTGGCAGGCGACGTCGTGCCAGACGATGCCATCATTATACAAGTTCTTCAACACCGCAAGACACTCTTCGTTGCCCTCTCGGTTGTCTGGCTGCGGCTGCCCTTGCCTAATTAACATTTATTAATTAGTGAAGTGGAACATTTAGATTTTCCCTAATCCATAAACAAAGTTTTAAAGAGAACAAAAATATATACAGACCCGCCAGTTGGAGACCACTTTGTGTAATAGAGAGGACTGCCGTTCAACCATCGCCAGTAGTTTAGTCCTCTTCTACTGCCACCAGTCCAGATAAACTGGACCGGGTCTAGAAAATGAAGAAAGGGTGTCAGAGCATAAGATTTGATTAAAGCTATGCAAATTTCAGATATACTGATGCCTTTATACACTTAGACGTTTTAAACAGTGGCTGGGCTCAATTTTAAATACGAATCTCACGTCTTGCGATTATTTCCGTAATAAAGCCATTTTTTTCTCCGTCTTCTATACAAACTGGTTGGAAGTTGGTGCCGAGGGTTTTGCAGTAAACATTAGCTTGATCCCAAGTGAAAGTACGCTGGTCCCTACACCAGGAGAAGTGGAACCCTAGATTTTTGTGGGCAGCATGGATCTGTCAAGATAATAAATTATGTAGATGTTATTAATTAATCAGGGGTTTAACAAAGCCGTCAGGGAAAATAAAATCTTACCAAAACTGATGCTTGCCCACAGAGGTTTTGTTGACCTAAGAGTTGCCGGGTGACGTCCACTTGCGACACTGGTTGGATGGTAGTGTGTCCCGAGGGAACGTTAGTAGGCCGTCTGAAGGGTTGAACGTTGAAACCCGTTTGAAACTGTATGATTAAAGGGGAACTAAACTGTGCTAAAGGTTGAGGAATGTGCTGAAGATTAGAGGATTGAGGTGGAAGGGTCTGAAGGTTCGAAGGTTGAGGCACGCTAGGAAGCAGCAGAGAGGATCGAACTGTAGAAGGCAAGATCAAGTCCGAATCCAGAGCTTCCTGTTCTAGAAATCTGGAACGAGTGATGTCTTGTTGCGTAGGGATTCGATAGCTTGATATGATACCAATCACCGATAATAGTACAACCGTAAACATTCTGTAACAAGAGTTATGCTTAATAAGTATAAAAATTTAACTCTGAAAACAAAATCCAAATTGATAATACGCACTTTAAAACAAATACACACAAATACTATAAGACATTTAATACCTGGAACTGGTGAACGTGTTTTCAAGAGCGGATCACACTGTTGACTGGGGTCCCAACCCGCCCGTACAGGCAACCTAAAACTAGACGTGCGCTGATTGGCTGATATTCGCGCTGAACGATAATACTATGCTTACATTTTGTTGATTTCTAATGAGTGCTTCGAGTGTCAATTACCACTGGTAAACAACTACTTATTTACTTGACCAAGACAAACGTACCTGGTAAAAACCTCAGATGAAGTCGAGATATAATTTTGAAAACCACATAAACTTTTGGTTTAAACTTTAAACTAAACCTCGTTCTCGGGTGTTAGTGTTGTGTTCCTGTTGTATTTATAGTGTTTGTGTAATATTGTTCCGAGGTTTTCAATGATATCTCTGTTCATGGTTTTAGGTTGTTGTGTCGCTCCGGTGCTTTGTTGTTTTTTATGTCTTTTTATGATTTTGTTTATACTATGTTCCTGTTGTATTTTACTTTGTATAGTGTTTGTGTAATTTTGTTCCTATGTTTTTTGTTTAGGTGTTGTATGGTTTTGGTTTGATTGTGGCGTTCCGATGCCTTACTATTTTTATGTGTCTGTTTATGTATTTGTTTATACCACATAAAAAAGACAGCATCAATGGGTGCTTCTGCCAGCGGCAACTGGCATCTTGTATGTTTTATTTGTGGCACTTAAACACAAGCTAAAGACCATTAAGACAAACAGACACGACCCACCACCACCACTGCTTTTAGGAATATGCGCGACACTTGCGCACATATGAGATGAATTTAAAAAGTTTGCTCGTGTAGTGTATTCAGATTCAATATTCTAGAAATATATATTTAGCAGCTCACAATGATTTTTTTATAAAGTTGCACCAACATAATTTTGGCAGCAATTTTTTTTGTTTTAAGCTAAGGGAAAGCCATCTCCATATGAATTAACATATTAACTTCAGTTATGGAGATTTATAGTTATTAATTTGGGTGCTATTTCAGATAAAGCACTTAATATTTAAAAATAGTGAAATTCATTTTTAAACGTAATAATTTTTTCGTCATGTATCTAGATCATGTTTTTGATTATGAAACACAGATAAAGTTCAGTCATTATTGGATTTCTCAAAAACAAGGCTATGTATTAGTCAAGTGCTGACTCAGAACTCTTGAAAGTTCACAACCTCCTTTAGGAATGAATTAAGTAATGTCAAATGACTTTGCTCTAAATATTTCTTGAAGATAAATTCATTGCGTTTGTTGTTCTTGTATTGGATGTTTCATAATTTACATGAACTGACACCACTCTACCTGCGTTTCCTACGGCTCGTGGAGTGGCATTAGTACTGTGTACGCTAGTGGGTGAGCCCTGGTAACGCGCGTTACCAGGGCACACCTGGTAATAGTTAACCTACTCCTGATAAACTTTCCACACACACCAAACAGAACGCCCTGAAGGAAACCAAGGTTGTCTTAGCCTTCACAGGCCCGCTTGGGGACTGAAAGCCCCAAAGAACTCAGTATATAGGCACGACAACAACGTCTCTTTCCAGGCGATTAACTATGCACAAACAACAGGGCTCCATCAAGGAACATATAATCTCTTCACACAACCAGACCATTAGCAGAGAAATCTTAACAAGCAACACAGAAATCATCGATAAATACAACGATAGCAGGAGACTCGACATCAGCGAGGCACTGCACATCAAAAAGTCAACACCAGCAATCATCAGCTGATTAATGTACAACTATATTCTACCCACTTCAAGATCGCGAACCAACATAGAAGCAGCAAGAGGAAGTATGGGCCAATAGGCCCTCTACAGTTACTTCTATTCTTTATGTTTTCATACCCAATTTATACCCATTGATTCGTGCTCTGGCATAGCTTTGTCACCTCACCCAAAACTTTAGTACCATATCACCTCACACAAACCGAGTATAATTATGATGTATTTTATGTGTAAACTAGTCTTTGAAAATGTAATAAGCATTACGAAACGCGTTCAGGCGTCAAACCAGAAATAAAAGAATGAATTTTGGAGAATTAATTTTTCAAATTCCATCGACAGTGAAGAAAAACGTAAGAAATATTGAGAAGATTCGTGTTAGAATTATTAATCTTACCCTTTCGGTCATATTCAAAAACATTATATATATATATATATATATATATATATATATATATATATATATATATATATATATATATATATATATATATATATATATATATATATATATATATATATATATATATATATATATATATATATATATATATATATATATATATATATATATATATATATATATATATATTAGTATATTTTGGTAGCAGTCTTTCCTGTAGACATATTTTATTAAATATGACAGAAAAAGTAAGATTAATAATTCTAACACGAATTTTCTCAATCTTTCGTACATTATGCTTCACTGTTGGAGGTAAATCAAAAATCACTTCTCCAAAATTCATTTTTATTTCTAGTCTGACGCGACACGGGCGCGTTTCGTAAAACTTATTACATTTTCAAAGACTTCACAAATACACAACTGATTAGAACTTGCATTTCCCTGATTTTATATCTACTTTTGAGTGAGGTGGGAAGGGTGATGTGGCATTACATTTGAGTGAGGTGGGAAGGATGATGTGGCATTAGAGGATATTAATAGGGTATTAAAAGTATCAACACAAGACAGAACACGAAACAATGGATATTGAATAGAAGTGTTTGTAGAAAGCCTATTGGTCCATATTTCTTGATGCTTCTATATTGGAGCGGAGTCTTGAGGTGGGTAGAATATAGTTGTGCAATAATTGGCTGTTGATTGCTGGTGTTGACTTCTTGATGTGTAGTGCCTCGCAAACGTCAAGCCGCCTGCTATCGCTGTATCTATCGATGATTTCTGTGTTGTTTACTAGGATTTCTCTGGCGATGGTTTGGTTATGGGAAGAGATTATATGTTCCTTAATGGAGCCCTGTTGTTTATGCATCGTTAAACGCCTAGAAAGAGATGTTGTTGTCTTGCCTTTATACTGGGTTTTTTGGAGCTTACAGTCCCCAAGTGGGCATTTGAAGGCATAGACGACGTTAGTCTCTTTTAAAGCGTTCTGTTTCGTGTCTGGAGAGTTTCTCATGAGTAGGCTGGCCGTTTTTCTGGTTTTTCTGATATATATATATATATATATATATATATATATATATATATATATATATATATATATATATATATATATATATATATATGTATATAAATCAGAGATACGTTCTAATCAGTTGTGTATTTGTGAAGTCTTTGAAAATGTAATAAGTTTTACGAAACGCGCCCGTGTCGCGTCAGACTAGAAATAAAAATGAATTTTGGAGAAGTGATTTTTGATTTACCTCCAACAGTGAAGCGTAATGTACGAAAGATTGAGAAAATTCGTGTTAGAATTATTAATCTTAATTTTCGGTCATATTTAATATATATATATATATATATATATATATATATATATATATATATATATATATATATATATATATATATATATATATATATATATATAATGTCTGTGAAATGCTTTCATATAATGTAAATGAAGTGGCAGATTACCATCAGTAGCTTCATGATGCTCTTGGATAAGTTCAAAAGTCAGATTTAGTAGCAATTAACTAGTGTCAAATTCCGTCCTTATTGTCAGCTTCCCAACCAGGTTGTCTTGGTGACTGCCTCGTATCTTACATGTCCGAGGCAGTCTTACTACTTATTTCCGTTTATACACCGGGTTCTGTGAGAGATGTAAATCGAGCTAACACCAGACGTCTGTTAAAAATAGTACCAATACTTTAGAAAATAAGGATGATATAGTTCTGTTTTGAAATGTTCTCGTTCGTGGGGATAAATATTTCTCAATATAAATATGATTATATACAGTATTAACAAACACTTTCAAATGTTATACGAGTTAACTTTTAAAAGAAAATTGACTTTCAAAATGGCCATGGCCTGATAATTTTAAATAATATAAAGGCTACAGGGAACAATACTCCATTCCTCGCATTCACAAAGGTAGAAGGTTAAATGGATGTGAATGACGGCTCACCTTAATTCACTTGCCCGAAACGCTATGCGTATAAGTGGCTTTAGGTATTGTATGTACTAGCTCAATATATAAATCCAACATTATGTTTGTAAATCAACTATGTATGTAGTTTTCCTGAATAAAAATTTATTTATATATATTAAAGTATTTTTAAACTCACACCAATTACTACGTAAATGAATGAGAATAAAACTGGGCATATGGACAAGAATTTGGAGGACATCACAGGGAATGCGAAGCCAGTACTTGCTCTACTTATATTATAAACTTCTGTTGAGATATGTGTCATTAGTAACTGATGTGCTTATTAGCGGTACTAGTCCCGATTTTAGTCAACTATTAATTAATTTCATTCATTAGGGAACCAAACGGGCTAAAGCTGCATTACATGCAGTGAAAAAGGTATGGCCTCCAACATCAACAGACACATTTTACTTTTTTTTTTATTAACGCATTAGTGCAGCTATCCTAGACTATATGAAGTGGAGTACAGTGTCAAAAAAGCTAACTAGGTGATGCTAGTTAGCTTTTCTTACACACTGTACTCCTCTTCATATAGTCTAGGGTAGCTGCACTAATGCAGATACTATATAATTATATACCAATAAATCTAGGGATTCAGCCAGCCATCTTTCACTGATTGCTTGGGGGTTTATGCCGGACCACGCTCAATAGGACCAATTGGATCGACCCAGACAAGCCCATAACTATCCCGTACCCAAGATCATTCAACTTACAAAGTTATGGCTGGGTGAGGCTAGCCCTAAACGTCTTGTCTACAACCTAATGCAAAAAGACAGACATTCTCTCTTATAGATACAGATATATCTAATACTAGCAGTACCTGGCCACACATTGCTGTGGCTCAGCAACGCATGTGCGTTGCTGAGCCACAGCAACCTTCTATGGCCCCAGTCCTCCCCACAATTCCCCCTCTCACCCGTCTCCTCGGTCTCCCCACCATTCCCCGCTCCACCGTCCCCTCGTCCTCCCCACCATTCCCCACTCCACCATCCTCTTTTCCTTCCCACCATACCCCACTCCCCTGTCCCTTTGTCCTCCCCACCATTC